CCGCGAACACGTTAGAGGTTTGCCGCTGAAGCGTCCCTTTACGACAAACGCGCAGTCGCATTCGCCGCAGTTGATCGAGCTCGTCCACAAGATTTCGAAGCGGTGGCGGCACCTTTGCCAACCTAAAACAAAGAGACAGCGTTCACGTAGCATAGTCTGAAAACTTTCAATGTTGATATACCCAACTTTTGTCCCTAGTCCAATAAATTATTTTCGCAAGTGCCGATACAGGAGAAAGATTTCTAGGACAAGTGCGCAAAACATAACTGGAAGCATACACCACCAAGAGTTTTCGCTTACGACATGCATAATTTTGTGGCTCGGTAGGCAATAGTTCATACATCAATATTACGTATATTTGGCAGTACAATTTTCGCTTCGGGTGTTGATGAATGGAGGGAACTTGACATTTTTCAGTAACTGGCAAATAATGCTTACAGACAGATATCTGCGTCTATGTGCTGGACATGTGGCACGTGTGCATTTTGTCACAGAGTTGCTTCGAGTGAAGCACATTTCTTTCAAATTGTGTTGCCCACTTTTTTACTAGAAAGCATGCGGCCTTCCATTCCGAACATCTACTCACTTGACGTATGCTGCTGCTAGCAGGAGGCGAGAAAACTTTACTTTCCAGAAACAATTTTATTATCCATGAAAGAAAAGAAGCTTCAAACCGTAACTTTTTCAGAAAACGAAAGCACAGTAAGCACGTGGGGTATTGTATTGAAATCTGCCATCGATGTATCTTCCAAAGTGTTTAGGTAAAGATCATAATTCGAGGACAGGGACTCCTCATCGACGCGTGTGCCTTTCTGATTCCGTACGATAAAAGCCTGTCATGCCTCATTTACAGGTTATTTATTTTCGGCTCTGATACGACACTGAAGTTATGCTAAATTATCAAGCCAATGCAGAATCTATCAATCTAAATGAAATCAGATCATATATGACATTTTGCAGAAGCGTCAAGACATAATGGAGGCAAAGGAGCAAGGACACATCCTCGAATATTTTATGGCGAAAAGCTCAAGTTCGTCACTAGATGATGACCTTAAAAGACGCGGCATATGGTACGAGAAGTTGCGTGACCTATAAGCAAAAATGGAGAACTAGATACCCCGACATGAGCCAGAATCAATGCAACGCGTTCTTAGATCATATCATATCATAGATCATACAAAATCTAATACTATCCATAATAAATTTGGTATAATCACTAATAAATTTTTATTGGATTCGGGTCTAAGTTTTAATATTAACACACCCCTACAAGAAGTTTTTTTTCTCCAGAAAGATCCACAACGCTAGAACTGTCGAATTCCCTATGATAGCAGGGTGAATGTCGAAAAGAAAGGATCGGCATTTATCAATAGAAAAGAATACTCGAAGGAGCTTGGAAATAATTCTGTGCACCAGTGAATCAGTGAGGGGGTCCTTTAAGAGAAAATAGAAGAAAGTCGTCATTCGCGTGATGCACAGCTTCCTTCTAGCTAGATGGGTATCGTGAAAGCTTACCTCAGTGCTTGACATAACACGGAAAGGTGTTCACAGAGTGTGTTGCAGATATCGTTTGTGACATTCCCATATGGTGTGGCTGACACAGAACAAACGCCCAAATGTATTTAAATGTTTTAATGAACGATCCTGAGGTGCACAATTTCAATTTACGAAATAAAGCCGGTAGCTTCCTAGATGAACACTGCAAGAGTACTGGCTGCACGCCATGTTTCAACCGCACCACTTTTTGTGAGGGTAGCAAAGGACAGAGCTTAGCGTGAACGTAGACTAGAAGCCGCAGGCAATTGAGCTAACAGGCGTTCAGTTTTGATATCGCCCGAGATTGATTTTCTAGATGGCTTTGTTCAGACTTGTTACACCTTCCCATATACCGTCTTTTGGTTGGTGATTTGTTAATTCACAACGCATGTTTACTTATCACCGTGAACAAGAAAGTAAGTTTCTTACAGAGTGTGTTCTTGTCTTCTTGACGAAGGCATCTCATCGAATGCATTATCCAAAGGTTTCAGTCATGTTATTATTGCATTCACCAATTGTCATCATTTCCAGCTTGTGTTAGCTCACTGCAGGACGAAGGCCTCTTCCAATAATGCCCAGTTTACGCTAACCTAGACGAACTAATTTCATTTTTTCTCTATGAATTTCTTGACTTTGTCACCTGATTTAACTCGCTCTCTTCCTCTAATACGTTTTCCATTGTTTGGTAACCGTTCCGTTGCTCTTACTATCATCCGATTGTCTGCCTTACGCGTTTCGTGAAAACCTAGGTCAATTTCGTTTACTTAGTGGATGTAATATAGAATATATCTGTTCTCTTCTATCTTTCGATGTCTTGATCTTGTTCCTTTATATTTCATTTCTCCGCACACGTCATGCATGTCTCCATTATTTGTGCATTTTACAGCAAAAGCTGTCATGAGATCACAACTCGGGTCACGCGCAGTTGTCCGCCGCTGCCACCACCACCACCGGTGTCCGTTACCACATCGCGCGAAATTAGAAAAAAAAAAAACTTTCCCCAATGACACAATGGGGCTATAACACGGGTCCACTGGGTGCCAGCACGGTATTCTTCCACTAAGTTACGCCGGTGCTTGTAACTTGTTGTCCAAATTGCCTTAGGCAGGCTTGATGTCGGGAAAGCAATCGCAATAATACGACTTATAAAGCATTTTAAAACAGCGAAAGAACAACCAGTCGTCGCCACAATGCGAATATCGTAACAATTGGGCCGTCCAATTCTCCAACCCAGTCACAAAAGCTTATTTTCGTTCCCCTACTAACTGTGGCGCATACCCACTTCAGCGACAATTCCTCATCGTCGTCAGCCACTGCACGGACAATTGGCACAAAATTCCTTGCAAGTATTTAGCGGATACCACGCTTCTCAGAAGAATGACAAAAAATAGCATAGCGAATACCAGCCTATTACCCAAATAAATTTATTATTAATGACCTACTGGGTATCACGCAAGTACGCTTGCGGTATTTTGCCAATGAGTGTTTCGAAAAGGGTCTGAAAGGCCGCCCTTCTAGCTTTTGCTGTGACTGTGCTGTGCCTTCCGTGCAGGCTTGGCGTATTTTTTTTTTTTGTAATCTTCCCTGTCTCAACCTCGTATGCGGGAACTCTGATATTTCGAGCTAAACGTGTAGGCAAGCCAATGTTTTTACTGACTGACAGCGAAATTGACTACCTATATAGTTTAGATTTAGTCGCCTTATGGCGGTATATTTTTGTGTTTTCGTTCATCACATGTTCATTTATTGACTTACTTTTACTTATAACCAAGACCAGGTAGTTAATATCATGCCCTGCGTGTGTTTGGGTTTGTTATTCCCTAAAGCTGGAAGTCGAAGTGGGATTCCAGAGTTAGGGTGGTTGCCATCGCTTGATTAGTTCACCTCACATAACACATGGTGTGCATCAGCGCTACTGTTTCACCTCGCTCGTAAACATTCTCGTATTCTGTCTACAACATTGTTGTTTGTTTTCTCGTTATGCTGTCATTTTTATCATTACATTGTGAGGTGTGGTGAAATTTTGTGCATGAAAAGGTTCTGATCTAGTGGAGTACAGCTCACTCGTAAGTCGGTACTTGTCTATGCCTATCTCCATCTCCTGTCTTCAGAAAATGAGCGCTGAACTTCTCCAAATTTAAACCGATTCGCCATGTGTCTACAGGGTACACTTACAAGTGCACGTCGTAATCGTAGGTTCCTATCATTTTTAACCACCTGAGGTTTTTAGACATGCACGTGAATCTTACGCGAATTCCAACCTGTTTCCTATTGAAAAATGAACGCCATCACAGAAAACCGAAGCCACACCCTGTTGTTCAGCAGCACCACGCCCCAGCGGCTCAGCCACCATGATGTTCTTGCGAACTGCATGACGAAGTCATACCAGTCTAAAATTTACACGTGTAGTCCACTGTTCAACGCTGCGGCGACTAATATGAATGACTCTAAATTGCGAACGTTTACGTCAGTAACAATCATAAATGCGCTTTTCTAAGCTATGGCGGCCTCTGATGATATCGCTTGAACGGCGTACGGGGCAAGAACAAAATAAAGCCGCAGATGTGCGTAGTTAACACACAAACCATCGGAAATTTGGATGGCTCAGTGCTACAGTGCTGCACTTTTGCAAAGTGTAATAAAATCAAACAAAAATTAGGGAACCCTAAAGCTTCGCATTTAGGAGTTGAACACGCGTTAGCGACAACCTGTTTCTATAGTGCGTACTTCAAACGCTTAGTGCATGGAACCTTTTCGAACTTGCTATGCACCCACTACGTGGCCTTAAGAGAATAGGCGCCGTAGCGTGTGTGCCTTTTGTTGTGGGGTGCCGGCCTTCAACCATGGAGCCATTATGATAATCACGCATTCTGGCACCAGTTGGCAATGGACGCTTGTACCACGCATTATTACTGCAATATATTATGTTGCATTGTGAAGCGTGTATGTATGATGTGTTTGTTTGTAAAGCATGAAATACTTTCCCTGTATTTCCAAGCAGAGGAAATTCTTTTCACTGTTTTCACAACCAGAGGCGGGGCCGTGCTTGTGAAAACAGTGAAAAAGAATTTCCTCTGCTTGGATATTCTTTTCACCGTTTTCACAAGTAGAGGCGGGGCCGTGCATTAAAGAAAAAAAAAACAGAGGCAGGGCCGTGTGGTAGAACATCCGCTTGCCTCATAAACGACCCGGGTTCGATTCCCACTTAGACCCAAACAAACCTAGTTTGGTCCCCATTCGGGTCCAGGTTTTTTTTTTTCACTTATTTTGTTTGCACCGCTGTTCTAGATTTTACGGTAACGAGTAGAATGGTGATTTTTCACTCACAGCCTCCGACGCCGACGCTGACACCAACGCCGATGCCAGAATATCTGTGAAACGAGCCCTTTAGCGCTACCGCGTTAATAGTGCAAACGATCAAGCAGGGAAGCGACATCGTTTGATGAATCGAGCGAATGACACAGTTCGTGCTGGTTCAGTGTCTTTATTACGTGATCATTCAGCGACAACTTGTTGAATACCCGTGCCTCTGCATTTACTTCTCCGGACACATCTGCCGTCAAAATCACGGCAGAAGGTTAGTCTGCACCAGCACTTGCGTTGAAGGTCATGCCGTGCAAGCAAGTGGTCTTCCCCTCAGTCTTCTTGTTTTTAAGAAAATGTCGCATCTGCACTCGCCGCAGCTGCTTGAGCTAGCCTTGAACCGCTCGTGTAGACCACACTTGGGGCGACCAGGTCCTGAAAAAAATACGAAGAGGAATTTCTGAAGTTGAAGGGTAGCCTTTCTCTTACGGCTCACATCAGGCACACCCACACTATACTATTTTCTTGCGAGAATTTTTCAAGCTGTAGATGTCTAACTACCGCCATCATCAATGTCAAGCATGTAAAAAATGTGCCGCCACATCCACAAAAGTGAATGATCATAAGTGGGCGTAGCTCCGGAGGTAAACCTGTGAATCCATGAATCCTCCGTAAATTTTGCCCACTCGATTTCATTACAACGCTCCACCTAGCGTACGTCGCCGCACTAAATTGAACGATTGCCTTCCACCAATGACACGCGTCATGTGACATCATTCCTATTTTATAAAATCTCGCATCTTTCATCAACTACAAGTACCGCCATCTAGTTTATAGCATCTTGCATCTTTTCATCATCAGCTACAAGTACCGCCATCTAGTGAACACTGCAAGAACTAAACGAGAGGTGGCTACATACAGGGGACGCACAGCCCACTCCTTAAGGAGCTTCGCCCCTAAAAGGCGTTACGTATTTTTATACAGCTTAATTAAAAGCAATTATTATTTACGGGGTGCCTGTATTGTTTTTTAAACAGATATATCTTTGCCTGCTGTGATGCTTTTTATATATCCTGAAGTCTTTCAGATTCATTCTAATTTTTTTTCTGCATGCAGGAGTTGTGCTCAAGAAGATATTGCTGGGGCTCAGCACACGGAGTGACAACGGCCGACTGCAGGAGGAAGTATACCTGCCGGTAAGTCTGACTCACTTGCCCTATACGGCCGATTGTTGTGCATGTTGAATGCTTAGAACACCGAGACAGACGGAACGAGTTATGAAGAATCGGGTTGGTGGAGCTTAATGCCATGCGTTTTCCGAAAAGACGGAGAAAAGTACTACCACGGGAATTGATCACAGTCTGCAATCAAGTAAGTCTATGTTCATTGGCAGCTACAACCAGCAACCTCCTGAGTGCATGCTTCGTGGGTAGCGACACTCTATTCTTGTTGAAACAGGAGCACTCTGCGGTTTTTTTTGGAAGTCACTCACTATTGTTCGACATGTTTATGCACTGCTTAGTGCGCGCAAGTGACTTTGATGTGGTGACCTACTATTTATAGTCTTGTTACGTATGCGCGCGAAATGACCGACGATGGCGGCGCTCAGAAATTTTTAACGAGCATTGAAAGTGTACGGCCGACGGCCAATTAGTCAGAGTGTGTTCTTTTCTGAGTCGTTTAATTGTGCATGAGCACTGGGCACTTGTTGCCTTTATATAGAGTGTTTTAAGTGTGTTTGTAACTTCACCTGCATTCCAAACGCAGAGGACGTGTCCGAAAAAAACAACAACAAGTGGAAGACCTAATCAAAAAGCAAGACCAGGCAGCCTACATGGCTTAGCTTCCCTCTCGTCTTCGATGAATCAAAGTTGACACTCACTAGCCGAAAAATTGCGACTATTTCTAAATGGCCAAAATGAAATAAAAACATTGATTAAAAGAGTTTTACGTTATAGCAACACAGCGTGCTGTCGAAGTACGTATGACCCCTTCATATAAAATTTGCGATAATTTGCAGTGTGGAAGAAGCTTACGGAAGAGAAAATGGTGACTTACAAAGAAGTAGGCATCTAGTGCATGAAGCCTTTGTTGAAACTAAGGTTTAGTGATAGAATTGTCGTTTTAAGTGGTATCTCTGTACATTTCCTGTGAGATGACTGGACCTTACAAAAAGTTACTGAACACCGCGCAATACGTTAAAGAATATAAGTAAAAAGAAAATAGCATTGGTTGTCGGTAAACTACCTGACGACAAAGGCGGCACGACTGATGCGAGTACTGAGTCCATTATTATATTATTGGGGGGAATGACAAGCAAGCGCGAAAAAAACAAATTAGATATGGAACAAGTCCAAAATCAAGATTACTGTATGCAAATGATCGGCATATTTTTAAAATTTGGATAAGCTGTGAAACCCTGTACATAGATATTTCCCAGTCACTGTGCTCCTCCCAAAAAGAATGAGGGAACCATCGATCAAGGAAGGAAACCATCATGTAAGGAGATACAACCTCGCTACTGCTACCTAATGTTTGTGCAGAAGCTGACTGCTTGTTTAGAAACTCAAATGACTAGATTCGTAAGAATAATGGTAAAAAATATCATGCAGATACTCAAAGTGATTTGTTGTTTGTAAACTGTTTGCATAGCTTGCATAGGAGGAGTGCCCAAACAACCAGATTAGCAAGAATATGAATAAAAGTCAACACATATTTCAGTAGTTTGTTATTTGTATACGACCCCGTACTTTACAGCAATGACCTCAATAATTTACAATAAAATTATTCAATAACTTAACCAATAAAACATCAGAGTTTTAAATGAACGTGAGAATATGGCGGTAGTGATAGGTTGTCCAGCTAAAGATTCCAAATGAGTGATATACAACCGGGTCCCTGATTGACTAGAAGAGCCTATCTGTGCAAGCAAGATATGAACCTGGTGAACTTACTATTATAAAAAAGATACAACGAATGATATGGATGGGCTCGTGCTGCGTATAACTATGAGGCACTCAACACATAAATATTAACTTGTCAGTGTCACTTAAATGCAAATAACACATCAATTCCATTTAGCCAGTAATAAGCGATGCTGCTGAAGCTGGAGGATAATGAAAGAAGCTGACCGAAGGACCACGCAGCTGATAATGGAAGAAAAAAATATAACTACGGCGCCAAAAACGCCCCTCGTAATCTGACAGCAGCTTTCATTGCAATATGGAGGCATAATATAGAATAAGCTCACGCCGGACAGGGTAGGTTCGAGAAAATTGGGAAAAGCCTCCGTCCTCCGTTGACATCACACCATGTGATAGTGAATATGATTACTGTTGTATTCAGAAAATATAGTTGAACGTTATGTGTGGGAGCGTTTGGCTTAGAAAAAAGCCTATAAAATTTGCTTGGTTCATTCTATCTTGCAAGACCCATTCTTACGAAATGCAAACGACTTTTAAGGTTATACGACATGGCAACGTGCCGGTACGCAGCGAACATAGCGCTCTCGAACGAGCGCAGGGGAGAAGGAGCAACTTACCTTTAGCTCCTCACTCTGCACAGTGCGCCGAATCTGTGATGGTTCGCGCGCGAATATGGCCACGAAAAACCGATAACAAGAGCCCAGGCTGCTGTGCACTATGATAACTACTATAAATAACTATCCTGTTATTCAGCTGACGTCCACACGAAATTATCGTTTCGGGGTGGTATGTTCGTGCATTCTTGATATTATTATGTCATTATCCGTGGCATGTCCTAACTGTGTTGTCACTGAGTCACATACGTTATCAGCGCTACTAAGGCGCATTTTCACGCTACATTGCTCGCCTTGGCCTGTAACAGACGGTGGCACCCCACCGCTCCGCCTAACCTTTCCAACAGATAGAGTGGTGCGAAAGCGAATGTGCGAGAGATATAACGGGCGTTTGTGTTGTGTCGTGCAATGCACCGGCTGCTTGCGCTCGTGGTACGAATGATTACAGGTTTGATTCATGGGGGTTGGGGGTGGGGGTGGAACTTACTTCTTTTTTATTTCCAATTCGTTAGCGTCCATGTTATTAAGTCATATTAGTGAAAAAAATACGTCACTCAAGTCTTCGAGGACACCGGCATAAAACATGCGTTAAAAAATAAAGTATTACGCTTGATGCGCAAGAAGTTATTTGCGTTAAAAACTGAGCACACATCGCAAGCAACACATCATAGCGTCACAGTCGTATTTAAAATGATTTTCGTGTCGTCTAAGCACAGGTGAGCTTCGATTTTGGACAAAAAGTCATGAATGAAGAACTTCTGAGCCGGCCGCGCAGCGCCCTCTTTGTGTATGTGAAAACTTGTTACAAGAAATCTAGCTCTGGTCGAGATTTCAAAGGTTCATAGAGCAGTTTTTTCCAGTATAAATCGAATGACCTCAGTATCGCTGTTTATTGCCTGACAATTTCATCGCATCAAAAATTAGTCGATTACGACAAGCACGAGCGAAGTTGCAAGGGTTTGTCACGTATTCTAAACACTGTTTTCTCTCGTTCGGGCTAGCGCACTGGATATTAAGCAGAGGGGATAGTGTTGGGAGGAGGTGATGTGAAACAAAGTAGTTACGCCAGCCCACCACGTTGCCTCAAGCGCACACGATAAAACGCGATCAATCTCTCCCGTTGCGATTCCATTGTGCTAGTGTGGCTCGCTGTCCAAAACTGTCTAGAATTAGCAGATGGAGTTCTGCGGAAGCACGTGGTGTTACTGCATGCTAAGAAACGTATCGCATCGAAGCACTGCTCTTGATATTGTGTGCGCTGTTCCTTCTCTTGCAAGCCCTCCTTGCCGGGCATGACTGCAAGTTTGTTTTTTTACATGTTCATGGTAGAGCATGTTTTCTAACCACAACATGTGTTTTCTCACCAGCCCGCGGGGTTATTGACCCCTTTAATAATACAACAGCGCCATTCAATTTTTGAGTGTAGGAATAATTCTTTTATACAGCTTCATTTATACTCTTACGCTCGGATGATCATATTTGCATGCATCTACGAAGTCAAAAAAACTTTTACTTCGAAAGTTTGTTATGTCAGTAATATTTTAGAGCTAGTTGGCACTGAGTGAATGCCTGCGTAATAATAGTGAAAACGAAGAAATACTACACAGAAATACACAGGTACTGTTAAACGACAATTGATTTTTCAGTCTACATGAGGACCATGTATATACACTACCCAGCACGCATGCAAGCGTCACATCACAAAGTCTGAGGAAACAATTTCAACTCCACCTAGCTGTACGACCCACTAACGCAGCATTTTGTTTGCATACGTGATAAAATGCTTTTTTTTTTTTTTGACCCCGCAAGGACCAAAATGCTGGCATGTGGCGTCCGCTCTGTGGATCGAAGAGCCTGTAATATATGCCTTTCTTTGTGTTGCTCTGACACATGCGTC